TTGAGGCCCTAACCCGTGTGTGGCTGTATTTGGAGTGAGAAAGTAATTAAGGCTAAAGAGGTCAAGAGAGTAGAGCCCTAATCTAATAGGACTGATATCCTTATAAGAAAGAACACTGAAGAGCTTGCTCTCTCCCCACTGCCCCCACCCTGCTGCACATCCTCTTGTAATTACACTGCCTTATTTAGAGAATGAGAGGGGAAAAAAGTCTGTACATGTTCAACATAGATGCAAATATATCCTTTTTTAACGGAAATATTTTTATCCCCAGTTGGTTGAATCTATGGATGTGGAATCCTTAGATATGGAGGACCAACTATATTTTGTTGTGGCAGCCTGAGCAGATAAATACAGATTTTGGTACCAAAAAGTGTGGTATTTCTTAACAAATACCTAAAAATATGGAAGTGGCTTTGGAACTGGGTAATGGTGAGAAGCTGGAGTAGTTTTAACATGCATGCTAAAAAAAGATAGTCTATAGTGTCCTGAAGGACTGTTGATAGCTGTGGTCCAACAGGTGATTGGATTAAAGGTAACTCTTACAAGGACTCAGAAAGAAAAGAGGAGAGCCAGAGAGAAAGCCTCTGTATTCTTACAGAATATATATATCATCATCAACAGAATGTTCATGGGCATGATGGACTTTAAAGGCCCGATCTGGTGAAGTCTTAGGTAGAAATGCAGAACAGGTTAATAGAAACAAAGGAGATTCTTGTTATAAAATGGAAATAACTTACCTGAGTTGTGTTCTAGTGTTTTGTGGAAGGCGGAAATTGTGAGCAATGAAACTGGATCTAAATTTAGCTAATGAGATTTCTAAGCAAAATATTGAAGGAGCAACTTGGTTTCTCTACCACTTAAAATGCAAGAAGATAAACTGAAGGAATTTTAAGCAAAAAGAAACTAGAACTTGAAGATATAGAAAATTCTCAGCCTATCCACATTTCAAAGAAATGAGAAAGCTTGTTTTGAAGAGAACATTAAAGGTGTGGCTGAACAACCATTTGACAACATTAGTGTGGGTATGAACCGCAGATTTAATCAGCCACCTGAGCAGAAGCCAAGAATAGAGATGGGATTGTACCAACAGAAATACTGCCAGCTGGGACTAAAGGGGACAGGAAAATCAGAATGGAATGAAAGAAAGCTGTAGGACTTCTCAGATTCTACAGAAACAGACAACAGAGCTATCTGGCTATGAGCATGAGCTATCCTTTTAAAAAGTGAAGAATGGCCCCAAAAGTGATTCAAATATTGTCCGCGAACCACAGCCTGCCACTGTCACCACAGGCCTAAGAGGCAGGGCTAGTTCCTCCTCCATTTCAAAGGATGAGGCCTTTTCATTCATGGGAGGCCAGGATCCTACTGACCAGTGTCTCAGGGACAAGGCTGAGGCCCAGTGCCATAAGGGTGACAATGCCACCCAAGTGGGCCTGGAGAGCATTGCATCAAACCAAAAAGAATAACTCTACAGCCTTAAGAGCTAATGGGATTTGCCTTGCCAGGTTTGGGGACTTGCTTGGGACTTGTCATCCTTTTTTTCTTTCTTTTTTCTCCTTTCTGAGATGGAATGTCTTTCCTATGCCCATCTCATTGTGTTTTGGAAGAGCATACTGTCTGGTTTCACAGGTTCACAGCTGGAGAGGAATTTTGCCTCAGACTGAATGGTACCAAAAGTCTTGGCCATACCTCATTTATGCTTAAATTAGGCTTTGGATTTTAGACTTTAGAGTTGATATTTAAACAAGTTAAGGCTTTTAGTGTTCTTGGGATAGAATGGAATATATCTACATGTGACAAGAACATAGATTTTGGCAGGCCACGGCCAGTATGTTATAGACTGAATGCATGTACTCCCCACTTCAAAATTCCCATTTTGAGGCCCTAACCCCCAGTGTGGCTACATTTGGATTAAGACAGCAATTAAGATTAAATTAGGTAATAAGGGTGGGACCCTGATCTGACAAGACTAGTGTCCTTTTAAGAAGAGACACCAGATAGCACTCATGCTCTTCTCCCACCCACAACCCGCTTTGTGTGTACACAATGAGAAAAGGCCATGTGAGGACATACCAAGAAGGCAGCTATCTGCAAGCCAGGAAGAGAGCCCTCACCAGAAACTGACCCTGTTGGACCTTGATCTGAGACTTCTAGCTTATAGAACTCTCAGAAAAATTTCTGTAGGTTGTGTTATTTTGTTATGGCAGCCTGAACACAGTAATACACTGATAAAAATTAGGAAGTATTGGGGTAATGTGTTGTTAAGCTAATTCCTCATTTTTAATAGTGGAGTAGAATAAAATAATGTCTAAAATATACTGGCTAGTGTTATGATGGTAACAACTAGAAAAACTAAAATTGATTATTAGAAGAAATTGGAGGGGGGTGTCAATGATAAAATTTTACTTTTTAACCCTTAGTTTTACTAAAACCATGTATATTAGTTTCATCAACCATTTCAAAAGTTAAGACACTTAAAATATCATGCCTTCATTCCTTAAATTTCAGTCATTCTGTTTTACTTTTATAATTTTTGCTATATTAATCCTTGCCAATTTTAAACCGTTTTTAACCTAAATCAATTTATTTTACATTATTTTCAACTTAAATGGCTTATACTTATATTTTCCAATACATTAAATGTATATAATTATTACAAATGTTCACCCATGTAATACCTAAAATTATCTCACGTTCCAGGAGTGGTAGAAGGCTTACACTTTGAAAAACATGACTAGATGCAAAATTTGATTATTTGTCTTGATGGCTTAAAAACGTTAAACAGGCTGGGCATGGTGGCTCATGCCTGTAATCCCAGCACTTCGGGAGGCCAAGGCAGGTGGATCACGGGGTCAAGAGATTGAGACCATCCTGGCCAACATGGTGAGACCCCGACTCTAATAAAAATACAAAAATCAGCTGCGCGTGGTGGTGCGTGCCTGTAGTCCTAGCTACTCAGAAGGCTGGAGCAGGAGAATCACTTGAACCAGAGGCAGAGGTTGCAGTGAGCCAAGATCACACCACTGCACTCCAGCCTGGTGACAGAGTGAGACTCTGTCTGAAAAAAAAAAAAAAAATAGAAAAGAAAAACCTAATAACATATATGAGAAAATGAATTCCTGTCTTTTAAAAAATAATTCTCTCTACAAGTTACACGTACACTGATAGAATTTTAAGAACATCTGAGTATTTGGATTTTCCCATTTTAGAATGATTACATTAAATATAACCTGAAAATATTTCACATAGCCAGAAGTTAAAAATTTTAAACTTTTAGTGCTGTGAAACTAAATGCTGTTTTTAAAAAATCCAGAACTGAACTTCGTCATATAAAATGGGCTTAGCTAAATAAAACAACATAAATGCCTTTTTAAAAAAAATCATGGGCCACGTGCAGTGGCTCATGGCTATAATCCCAGCACTTTGGGAGGCCGAGGTAGGCAGATCACTTGAGGTTAGGAGTTCGAGACTGGCCTGGCTAACATGGTGAAACCCCATCTCTACTAAAAATACAAAAATTAACTAGGCATGGTGGTGGGCACCTGTAATCCCAGCTACTCAGGAGGCTGTAGCAGGAGAATAGCATGAACCCAGGAGGTAGAGGTTGCAGTGAGCCAAGATCACGCCACTGCACCCAGCCTGGGTGACAGAGCAAGACACCATCTCAAAAAAAAAAAAAAAATGGTTAAAAAAAATGTTTAACCAGTACCTATATGCAACCCACTCTGCTAATTACTGGAAATGCAAAGACAGATACAATGTCTCTAAAATTTGGAATGTGTCTGTATAAGAATTTACAGCATAAATAAATGCCCCTCAATATAATGATATAACTTACTGAATTAAAATAGTTCAGCTCTCAGTTATTTAAGACTAGTAAAAAGACTTAACTTTCACCACAATCTTTAGTAAAACTTAGAATGAGACTTACTTCTACTTATAGTCTTGGTTTAAAAAGCAGAGTACACTACATCAAGTATGCCCTAAGCATTCATATTTGTTTGCAGAATAAATATGCTATGGTCCACTTCTCAGCAGTCTATCTCTGTAATGCAGTTCTAGTATTTTAAGTGTCTAAAACACATGATACGTGAGGAAATACTGAATTATTCATAACATAAATGAAAGTATTTTTCATCTACTTATATCCAGTCTTCTTAAAAAGCATGCCTTCAACCCCAATTTGCATAGCTCCTCTGCTAACTTTTAGCCATTCTCTCTTATAAATTTACTGCCCTCTTTGTCTGAAGGCATCTGTCTCCATCAACATTTCATTTCTTACAGGAGCAGGGGCAGTGAGCTCTCCAGTTCATTCAACCTTAAGTGGAGGAAGAGGCCCCTCACAGCTCCTAAGTTAGCCTTCTGGTACTCTTAGCAGAGTCTGCTACCCCAGGGCTGCAGAGTCTACCTGGGTTGGGTGCTAGTTGTTCACCAGGGTTCAGCATCAGTCTGAACTGAGCTTCTATACAGCAAGTGGCCTCCCAAATGCCTTAATGGTTTCTGGTTACACCTGGGGAAAAGGATCCTTAATCCCCTAAAAGAATACTTTCATACTGATAGTTATTTTATCCACGTAAAATATATCACTCATTTAATTAAATGATTTTATAAAAGAAAAATTATTTATAAAAGAAAAACTATTATAAATAAATAATAAAACTCATAATGAAATTGAATATTTGAATTTCTCCTGGTAATAGCTCTCAACAAATAAGAAAAATCAAGCTGTGAGATTTTGTTTTAAATGTAGCCATTTTTCAAAAGGTAAAAAGTTGGCTTCTATATTTAATGGCAAGTGGGTCATCTTCTATTTTAAAATTAACATTCAAAAAGTAGTAAAATATACACTATCATGAACATTATGTGTTTTCTAGAATGGATACATGTCTGAATGCTAATCTGAATGTGGAAGAAATATATATCTGTTAAAAACCACACTGGAAAAATGTTCTTTTTTAAAAAAGTAGCTTGAAGTAAAAAGGAACTTGCTAAAAACCCAGTAAACTTTCACGTATGGGAATTTTTTTAAATCTCCACCCATCCCACCTCTGAAAAAAAGAAGAAGAAGAAGAAAAGAAAGAAAAAGAAAAAAACTATATGGTCAATTTGAGTAGAGCCATTCATTACATGACTGCTCATTCTGTACAATGTGGAAGGCTGGTTATTTAGGAAATATTTCGTTTCCTAAAGTGCATCTTTTGAAGATTTGTCTAGTAAAACTGCAATATCATATATAAAACACTTAACACAAGACATGCAATAACAAAGCTAAATCATTCCACTATAAAGTTTTTAAAACTACTTTTAAAACTTTTGTTTCACCAAGAAATAAAGATGTAAAATACAGTAGCATTCTTGTTCTCCAACAGTATGCACTGTATGCTTTTGTTATTTGGCAAATCTTTTAGAGTCGAACAAAAATAATAGTCTAAACAGTATTTCTTCTGTCATTATAATACGATTCCCAGGCAGAACAGTAAGATATAGAGGAAGAGTTAGATTTTTGGAAGTTTTGGTGCATTAACCACAGGATTTGCCTCGTGCAAGTATCTCCTCCCTGCACTCTTGTAGTCATAGGTACAGCCATGAGTTTCTGCATAACGATGAGATGCACAGAAGTTGTTTCCACATCTAAAGCACAAAAAAAGTTTACATGAATAGTTGTATTTCTATGAAAGGCTCATCTCTCTGGGAGAGAAGAGCTTGACTTCAGGTAGTCCAACAGGGGCCCTTTGGTTCTTTTTAGCAATTTCACTGCTGACATGTCCCTTTCATTCGTAAACAAACATAAATATCCCCTAAAAAGAACAAGTTAATTGTCTATGAATATGACAATTTATGATAAAGAAGTCATTATAGAATGAAACAGGGTAGGCCAGGTGTGGTGGCTCATGCCTGTAATCCCAGCACTTTGGAAGGCCGAGGCGGGTGGATCTTGAGGCCATCCTGACCAACATGGTGAAAACCCATCTCTACTAAAAATACAAAAATTAGCTGGGCGTGCTGGCATGTACCTGTAGTCCAGCTACTTGGGAGGCTGAGGCAAGAGAATTGCTTGAACCCAGGAGGTGGAGGTTGCAGTGAGCCAAGATCATGCCACTGCACTCCAGCCTGGTGACAGGGCAAGACTCAGTCTCAAAAAGAAGAAGAAGAAAAAAAAAAAAAATGAAACAGGGTGTAGAACTCTATCAGTAGTAAAACTGCAAAAAGCCGATAAATATGCCCATCATTTCTCTTATACCTAGTAAACCTCAAAGAATTCTGAATTTCTGAGAAATTCAGTCTCATGATAAAATTAAAATAGTAAAATCTAACTATGCCATGAAAGAATTTTTAAAAATATCTCTAGTAGCAAGATAAGTTGTTTTCATTTGAACAGAATACACTCTAAAAAGCAGGGATTGGGCTGAGTGTGGTGGTGGCTCACACCTGAAATTCCAGCACTTTGGGAGGCCAAGGTGAGAAGATCAGTTGAGGCCAGGAGTTTGAGACCAGCCTAGGCAATATAGTGAGATCTGTCTCTACAAAATATTTAAAAAATTAACCAGGCATGATGGCACATGCCTATAGTCCTAGCTATTAGGGAGGCTGAGGCAGGGGGATCGCTTGAGCCCAAGACATCAAGGCTCCAGTGAGCTATGATCGCAGTACTGAAAAAAAAAAAAAAAAACAGGCCGCAGCAGCAGTTATTTTCAAGCCTAGCCTCAATCTAAGGGCTGACATCCAAGATGACATATCATCCTTGGAGGATATCCATCAATACTAATGAAATAAATAATTACGGTAACAAAAATTTCATAATTTTTGGAAATATATTATTCATCTATTTTATATTAACTTTTACTTTTTTTGTTAATTTTTAATAGAATATTCAGGGAGGAGTTCTTCCAAGGTGCTGTTCAAACAAAATCCAAGCAGGTTCATCATAAGACAAAAAAGGTACACTCTCAGATTAGTTTAAATCTCCTAACTTAAAGGACAAGGAAGGATCTGTTTTTATCTTTTGGAAACTCACGAGCTATCTACTTGTTCTTTACTTCAGCCAATTAGAAGTTCAACTGAACATAGCTATTTGAACATCATCTTAATGATATTATAAATAAGCAATTTAAATATTTTATTTTGCCTAATCCCCAAGCTGGGTTATCACAGAGAAAGCATCTCAGCTTCTCCAGCTGGCCAACCTGCCTGCATTCGTAGCTACTAGCCAGTCCTGTTTTCTTTCCACAAAGAAAACAATGATTTGTTTTTTTCTTCTTTGCCTGAAGAGGGGCTTTCACAGGTGGGAGGTGATGAGTAGTACATTCTCCTGTTTAGAGAAAGGACACCTTGATTAACACAGGCATAAAATCCTAAACATGAAACTATTAAGCAAAACACAAAACATAGTCCTATCAAAGTAAATATCTATGCCATAAAAATTAATTTGTGCTATTTTTATATCTAAAATTATTTAGAAAATCTACAGGTCAAGTTGCAGTGGAACTATTTTTTTTAAGATGTGGTAGGTTTCCACTGATTAGCATTTATATTTTTAGAACTTCTTATACACACCACTTTTCTGATTATTTCTAATGGTAATCAGTTTATATAAAGTATACCAAATTTTGACAGAGAATAAAGAAAAATGTCTGCTTCAAAATCATATTTGATGAAACCTCTGAGAACATGATTGCAATACAAATACTCTGTTTGTTCACACCAAAAAGGAGTACCAGAGTATCATGAAACATGCCTTTTAGTCCTATTACAACACAGACAGTAAGTTCATCAAACCACGAGCAAGTCATTTATTCTTTCAAAACTTCAATATGTTTATTTTTAACATAATAGAACACGTATTTTTCTCTCTAGATTAATAAGCACTTTAAGGTCAGTTCAGTCCACATATGTAAAAAGCACTCTGAAAGTTTTAAGCATGTTATAATTACATAAAATGTCATATTAATAATACTAACACAGTACACAGATCAATTTCACAGTACTACTAGTTTTCCAAAAATATTTACTGAATTCTGTACTACTGTATCAACTTTGAGTTTTTACCTTAAAAATAAGAGTGCATCTGTTATTACATAAGAAAGAATTAAATCTGGTTTTTTTTTTTTTTTTTTGGGGACAGTTTCACTCTGTTGCCCAGGCTGGAGTGCAGTGGCACGATCTCGGCTCACTGCAAGCTCCGCCTCCCAGGTTCAAGTGATTCTTCTGCCTCAGCCTCCCGAGTAGCTGGGACTACAGGCGTGCGCCGCGATGCCCAGCTAATTTTTTTGTATTTTTAGTAGAGATGGGGTTTTACCATCTTGGTCTGTCTGTTCTGCTCTTGAACTCCTGACCTCATGATCCGACCATCTCGGCCTCCCAAAGTGCTGGGATCACAGGTGTGAGCCACCGTGCCAGGCCAAATCAATTTCTTTAATTACTAAGTGAAATGTCTTTTAGAACTGATCAAAATGCCAACAAACCCCAGTCATAAGCAGAGAGACTCAAAGTTCCTGCCCATAGTTGATAAAGTAACAGTATAAGTACACATGTGCTTGGTGTCACTCAAAGGCTAAGAAGCAAGAGGCAAAGAAAAAATGCAAGAACAAGTGGAAGGAGTGAGGAACAACTGGTAGTGTCAATAGTGCTGGGACCTTTTCTCCACTACTGAAAAAGGTTTGGGAGGCCTAAGCTTGGTATTTATTTGGCAGCTGAAAGTCTGAAATTTCTTAAAGGGTTCAAAAAATCGGATTTACAATTAATTGGTTCTATGTCTTTTGTCACAACAGAGATTAGGTAATTTACACAAGCCCAGCAAAATTAAATCTTCTTTATTACCAGTCTAAAATACATTCCCAGATCTTGCCAAAACTAGAAACAAAATTTGAAACAACTGGAGTGACTCCTAATAGTGCCTGGGTACCAACTCAGTTAATAAACATTTTCCTTCTCAAGTGCACTTAGAGATACCAAGAACATCTCACAAAGGTGATGGTGTAATTCCATTATTTAAAATATTTTTTAAAAGGTATTTACTTGCACTTGCACAGGACACCAAAGAAAGGCATATATTACATGATGCCCAATGGAAGTTTATCTACTCGAAACTATCTTTAAAATTCAGGCTTAGGATATTCTTCCTTAAACAATGGTGAAGAATCTCTGAAAATAATTTAATTCACTGTAGTCATACTTTCATTTTTTTTGATAACAATTTAATTCACTGTAGTCACACTTTCATTTTTTTTCTTTTCTTAGGGGATACTTAACTCAGTATTCTCCACACTTTTTTTCATTCAAGAACTCTTGTGAGGCCAGGCACGGTGGCTCACACCTGTAATCCTAGCACTTTGGGAGGCCAAGGTTGGCAAATCACCTGAGGTCAGGAGTTCGAGACCAGTCAGGCCAACATGGTAAAACCCCGTCTCTACTAAAAATACAAAAGTTAGCTGGGCATGGTAGCACGTGTCTGTAGTCCCAGCTACTCAGGAGGCTGAGGCAGAAGAATCGCTTCAACCCGTGAGGAAGAGGTTGCAGTGAGCCGAGATCGTGCCACTGCACTTCAGCCTAACCAGGCAACAGAGCGAGACTCTGCCAAAAAAAAAAACAACTCTTGTGAATGTGTAGAGACAGAGAATACATTAGTGACAGTAATGAGGCAGCACAAAAATATAAGTATTCTATGAGAGCAGCTTCCATACATCCTTCTACCATTCAGAGAAAACTATTAGTCAACTACTGTGTGCTAGGAACCATCATTAAACATATTGATTCCCCACTATAAACAGGAAAAATATAAATTCCTCGGACTGGCATTTAAGGTATTATTATGTCCAATATAATGCCTTTCTAACTATCCAGAGACACCCTAATTTACCATGTCAAACCCACCCTGAAGGATGTACCAAGTCCTTCTACATCTGCAATCTCTTCTAAAATAAACTCTACCTGTCAACCCTGTAGCATTTGACTTGTCCTGTAAGACATCATCAATTATCAACTCCTCTCTGACGCCTTCTCTCAAATGTGTACTGAACAGATGAATAAAGAAAAAAATCCATAAAATCATATTGATGGGAAGAGTTGCTTTTCAGAAGAAGATGAAAGGTACTTGAGGTAATTCACTTGTTTGCCATTTCCTAGTCTCATATTTGATCTAACATCTAACAGAATCTACAAAAACTGACCCAACAGAAAGGCAGCAAAAAGTAATAAATTAGTGTTTCAGACACAAGGTTGGTAGTCATCTGCCTAAAATCAATGGCTAAAACTACAATAATTGATACAGTTTCCAAGAAAAACCTTATAGTGAAAAGAACAGAGGACCAATGGAGGAATCTAGGAGGTCAATTAAATGAAACTTGCATCAAAATATATACAGACTCTTCTAGATAATTCAGAATGATAGTTATTATGGTGAGAGAAAATGGAAGCAAGTTACACAGCTCTACTGCAGCTAGCAGCTGATACTTCAAACCTAAATGAAATCAAACAAAAAGAGCATGTATCTGGTGACAAGCAGAGGGCTGGTTAAAAAAAAAAAAAGGACAGAAGAAAACTGAGGTTAAAAAAAGATTAAAACAAAAGAATTTATAACAATGTGATAGCCTAGAATTAAAAAAAAAAAAAAAAAAAGAAAACTATTTCAAGAATGAAGGACACAAAAATCAAGTAAGATAAAGATAAGGAGGCATCCAATGGATTTGAAATTATGGAGATCGTCAGTGACCACAGCAATAGCAGTTTCAGAAGAGTAGCAAGTGAGACGTGAGCCAGCACTGAAGACTGAACTAGAGCTGAGTGAGTAGGGATGGCTGTAATGCAAATTTCCAAGAAGATTAGCCATGTGTTAGGGCAGGACAGAGTTATGTGTCAAGGAAAAACAACAACTATAACATTAAAAGTCAATAAATTACAGTAATGAAAACAATGTGACACTGGCATAAAACAGACACATAGACCAATGAGTAGAGAGTCCAGAAACAAATCCTCATATACATGATCAAATGACTTTCAATACGGGTGCCAAGACCATTCAATGAAGAAGGACAGTGTTTCAACAAAAGTTAGCAAGAAAATGGGATGTTCACATGCAAAAGAATGAAGTGGAACCCTTACCTTACACTCTACATAACAATTAACTCAAAATGGATCGAAGTCCTAAACATAAGACCTAAAACTATAAAACTTCTAGAAGAAAAGATAGGGGAAAAGCTTCATGATACTGGATTTGGTGGTCATTTCTTGGATATGACACCAAAGGCACAGGTAACAAAAGGAGAAAATAAACTGGATTTCCTAATGTGTCAGACATTGGATTTCCTAATGTGTCAGGCATTCTGGACTTTCCAGTGATGCCACTGAGATGGCACCTGTCAAAAAAGCAGTGGTTCCATTTCTAGATTGTGGATCTTCAGATAAATTCTGCCATTTTTATTGCACTTCCTGAAAGTCAGGGTCGGCTTGTGAAAAGTTGTTAAACAACATGCTAAATGTGAAATGTCAACCCTCACTCTAAACTTTCCCTGTTCAGAATATCAGATATTTCATTGGGTTTTATAGTGGCTTTCTGATTTTTGGTATTCCACTGAAGAAGGGAGTTTGAAAGTTGTTGTATACTGTTAATGACTGTCTGTCCATGTCCTGCCTGAAATACCATGATTGTTTAAGGAAAGTATCTTTAATAAAGCTGGATACAGTTTGGGTTGGGGAGGGGGGGAAACATGAAAAGACATTTCTCCAAAGAAGATCTAGAAACGACCAATAAGCACATGAAACTACTCATTAGGAAATCAACTTCACTAATTAGGGAATCAATAATCAGTAACACTAATCATCACAGATATGCAAATCAAAACCACAGTGACACCACCTCACACCCATTAGGATGGCTACTAGCAAAAAAAAATAGGAAAATAACAAGTGTTGCCAAGGATGTGGAGAAATTGGAATCCTTTTGCACTGTTGATGGAATGAAACATGGTACAGCAACTGTGGAAAACAATATGATGGTTCCTCAAAAAATTAAAAATAGAAATACCTTCTGATCCTGCATTTCATTCTGGGTATATATTCTAAATAACTGAAAGTAGTGTTCACAGCACCATTATTCACAATAGCTAAAACACGGAAGCAATACAACTGTTTATTAACAGATGAATGGATAAGCAAAATGTGCTCTGTGTGTATGTGTATATTGTGTGTGTGTGTACACACACACGTACAATAGAGTATCAGCCCCCAAAAGAAAAAAATTTGATATGTACTACTACATGGGTAAATCTTGAGGACATTCTGATAAGTGAAATAAGCCAGTCATAAAAAGACAAATACTGTATGATTCCACTTACATGAGGTACTTAGAGTACCTAAAAAATCATTGAATTAGGAAATGAAATGGTGGTTGCCAAGGTGGTGGGAGGGGGAAAAGTGTTTCAGTTCGAAAAGTGTTCTGGAGAAAGATGGTGATGGATCCCCAACAATGTGAAAGTCACTGAACTTTATACTTAAAAATGGTTATGACAGTAAAATTTATGTTATGTTTATTTTACCACAGTACAAAAGAATTGAAAAAATATGCAAATAGATTATGACTTTATAATCTTGGGCCTTACATAGGAATGAAAAACCCTAAATGTCTTCAATAAAAACATAAAACTCACATGACAACCATAACAAATATTTTTTAAACCCTTGGGGCTACAAAGGTGGCACATCTTTGGTAACGAGTTTCCCATCCCTGGTCTGGGTATTAAAACATTTAAAAAGATGGCTTCCTTCCTGCTTGAAAATAAGGACTAGCCAGTGCCTCTTTAATGTTTTTCTATATTGGCAGAAAGAAGTGCTAATGTTATAGTCACTTCTACTAGTATGCCATGGAAAGGGATGGCCCTAGAGATGGTCCCTTTCTTTTATCCAGAAATGACCAGATCATCAAAAAGAGATTCTTACCACCACCTCTGATGTTTGGCCATGATGTCGAAAGACATCTTTCTAGGGTAATTCTTCAAAACCCACATGGCTCTAGAGTGGCCAGTAACTAAGGTGGTTGGGAACTACATGTTCATTCTTCAATAATCTTGTGGGTTTTTTGACATAGATAACACCTCTTCCAAGACAAGACATTTCCATTTCAATTTTTGTTTTGCTCTTTATGTGTGTCCTACAGTCCGTTCTCATAATTATTTTCTTAATTGGAAAAAACATTTAGGGAGAGAATTTACTCTTTACATGCCACAGAGAAGGTTCTTCCCATTTCTCTTTGAAAATTCAACCGGATGCATAATTATGTAATTATCAGCCTTATATTGTTTTCAAAATTATCTGTAGCTTACCTACGCTTTTCCCTGTTGCTGCATTATTTCCATTCATTCCAACACCATGGGCAGACTACAATTAAAACACAAAACATCTATAGAGGTGAGTCAATGAAGAATAGAAATGATCAACAAACATGAAATACTTGTATTTTATCACTAACATGCTGTTGGACTTTCATTTTAAATTATTTAATCCAATTTTTGTTTAATTAAATTAACTCAGAACCTGATTGCACATCTAGCAATATCATGCTTATTATTTATCTTTAAGAGGGTAAAATTTGCTGGGTGTGGTGACTCATGCCTGTAATCCCAGCACTTTGGGAGGCTGAGGTGAGAGGATTGCTTGAGCCTAGGACATCGCGGCTGCAGTGAGCTATGATTGCACCGCTGTGTTCCAGGAGTTTGAGAGCAGCCTGGGCAACATGGTGAAGCCCCATCTCTACAAAGAATATAAAAGTTAATCAGGCATGGTGGCATACGCCTATAGTCTCAGTGACTGGAGAGACTGGGGTGGGAGGATTGCTTGAGCCCGGGAGGTCAAGGCTGCAGTGAACCATGATTATGCCAATGTGCTCCAGCCTGGGTGACAGAATGAGACCCTGTCTCAAAAAAAAAAAAAAAAAAAGGGAGAGAGAGAGTAAAATTTGATGACTCAAATAAAAAGTTCTTACTTGGGATGGAAAAAAACATTTAAAAGATTTAGTATTTAAAAATACCGGGCCGGGCGCGGTGGCTCAAGCCTGTAATCCCAGCACTTTGGGAGGCCGAGACGGGCGGATCACGAGGTCAGGAGATCGAGACCATCCTGGCTATCATGGTGAAACCCCGTCTCTACTAAAAAACACAAAAAACTAGCCGGGCGAGGTGGCGGGCGCCTGTAGTCCCAGCTACTCGGGAGGCTGAGGCAGGAGAATGGCGTAAACCCGGGAGGCGGAGCTTGCAGTGAGCTGAGATCCGGCCACTGCACTCCAGCCTGGGCGACAGAGCGAGACTCCGTCTCAAAAAAAAAAAAAAAAAAATACCGGTGTATTGGCATGTCCCTATATTCCCAGCTACTCAGGAGGCTAAGGCAGGAGGATTGCTTGAGCCCAGGAGTTCGAGGAGTTCAAAATATACATACATATCTGATAAACTGTTTACATTAATTTATGTTCAAATTACTATTCTCATTTCAGGACTAAAAGAGCATTCAAAATTCAACCATCAAGAAGATTTTATACAAACTAAAGAAACATTTTCAGATAAACATATGAAAATAATTTTAGCCTTCCTTATTTATGTAAACAAAAACCAAACTTTAAGTAAGTTGGATCACTACAAGGGTAACTACTCGAGCATGCTGAAAGGAAAATACTGACCAAAAAAACTTCTGGATGTTCTAACTGGGGAGAACTTTTCCTAAGGTTTTCTTCCTGAAAATGCTGGAGGTTTGTAGACAGCCCAATTCCAGAGGTCTGAGGCCTGCCTGCCCCACGTGTGCTCTGTAATCTATCTCTGCTTGTGCTCCGGGCCAGTGAAGCAAGAAAACTGATATTATTTACACAATCAACAGGTTCTTTGGAAGCCTTGTTAGCCATTTCTGTGATATCCCGAGCCTCAACTTTGGAAATAACATCAGATCTTTTCCCAGGTGAATCAACTTTAACCCCTTGAAAGCGAGGGGTCCTAGAGGAAGAACAATCAGTTATGTTTTGAACATCCAGTGACCGAGAAGAAGGCTGTAGTTTCCCAAACTCAAAACATTTGGACTGTCTCTGTGGTTTCACCAGAGAGTTATGTAGTGGTGCAGAACAGCGAGGACGTGACAAGAGTCTATTCTTGTGAGGACTTAATTCCCGGTAGTTAAGAACTGAAGTCTCTACTGATTCCCCACTCAGCACTCCCGCAGCATGCTTAAGATGCTGCTCTGGAGCTTTCAACCCTTTGTCAGCATTAGTGAGTAACAACTCCGGATTCACTTTGCATGCATCTTCTAAGCTGCTGCTCTGCTCATCAGCATTTCCATCTGCAAATGAAGCCAGTGAGCCCACTTCAGGTAGAAGTGATTCTTCGATTACACATTCTTCTGAAGGTAAGACAGTATCCTCATTACTAGATGGCAAGTTTCCTAAAAAGTGTTTTGTCTGCCTAGGCAGGGATGATCCAAGATGGAGAACAGAGTCAGCAAGCTCCTGGTCATTTCCCAACTCCAAATGGGGTATCTGAGGAGGTAGTTTGACGTTGCTACTAGAGTGAGACAGTGTGTTAGTCTCCCAGCTATTATTTTCCTTAAGAAATTCACCAGTGATAGAAGACATGGATCTCTCAGCAGGGAGTTCAGTTGCCAAACTTGAAACTCCATTCCTAGAGATTTCGGGCAGATATGCATTCCCAAAAGCAGGTAAACAAGATTGACCAGTGTTGGGGAGGACCTTTAACAATCGGTGGCGAGATGGTGCAGTGGAACCACTAGAAGGTCG